AAAGGACCGGCCTTGGTGCCGTAGACCCTATCGATATAGTAAGGATAACTCACCTCGCAGATGTCGATAGAAATGCGAATTCCAACTATCGGATCACTTGACACCGGCTCCACCACCTATAACCATAACACAATATACTCATAAGTTCTTACTCTTATGAGACACCGCATAACCTACTAGTCAATCCCTGATCAAGGTCAAAGTCCTTGGTCAAGGTCAACAGTTCATGTTGACCTCAATTCGCCGAGTACACTCGGCGGCTCGCCGAGTCTTTGAAGCACATACCAACTCGCCGAGTCATCGGGGTGACTCGTAGAGTTCCTTCGAATCCTGACCAAGTCTCAAGGCCACCCGTCGAGTTTCCTCCTTGCAACTCGACGGGTATACATGCAAACATATCCTTGGCTAAAACTCATACAACTCGCCGAGTTGTTCTTCAACTCGTCGAGTTTCATGACCATCTTCATCTAACTCGCCGAATTGTCCAACCAACTCGTCGAGTTCACGGCTTCCATCAACTGACTCGTCGAGTTGTTCATACAACTCGCCGGGTCCAATGCATATCTTCATATGACTCGCCGAGTCAGCTTTGCGACTCGCCGAGTTGCTTCATTCAATTTAACATGCAGACGTCTATAAGCCATGGCAAGGTCCCAAATTGTAGATCTAGCTTCCTTAAGCCTACTTATCACGTAAAGTTTCAAACTTTACGTGCATGCATTGCATTACAAGCTTCAAATGCCAAAACCAAGCTCTTAATGGGTGCTCATGGACCAAGGGGACCTTACACTCGACTAAAGCTGGAACTTTATGCTCGAATAATCCAAGGAGGGTCAAGATCTGAAGTTACAACTTCAGATCTAGCCCAAAGATTGCCATACCAACTGGATCCCCTTTAAAAAACCCTAAAACTCATTCAAAGATGAGGTCTAACTGAAATAACTGAGGGAAGTAGTCAATTACCTTCCCAAGAGATGCCCACAGAAGAAATTGGATCTCTTCCCAGCTCCTTGCCAAAATCATTTGATTCACCAAACTTTTCCACCAAAAATCCTCTCTCAAACTTCAACACACAAAGGTCACACATACACACACAAGATAGAGATGCAAAGGGGGATACAAAAGAACTGAAAGAGGCTTGAGCTTCTTTAAATAGGGGTGCAAACTTTGGAAATTAGGGTTTCACTCTCCAGCTCCTACTCGCCGAGTCCAACAAAGGACTCGCCGAGTAGGCCACTTAATTTGCGATCCGACCCGCTGCTACTGTAACATCCGGAATTTCAGGTATTATATTTATTCATTGAATTTCAAGTTTTATGGAAGAACTTGGCGAGTTGATGCGTAGACTCGCCGAGTAGAGACGTGAATCATTATCCGGGTGGATGGTTGGACTCGGCGAGTCGCCCCAAGGACTCGGCGAGTCCACGCTGTTTAATGAAACCCTAATTCCTCGGGTTTGGGGCCTATTTAAAGGGCCTTATGGCCGTCATTTGCAGCTACCAGACCCCAAAGAGAAACCCTAAGTGAGCTAGAGCGTTTGTGAGAGGAAAGGAGTCATTTCTTGATCACTGTTAGTGTTTTTGCAAATAGAAGAGGACCAAGACAAGAGGAGGCTAAAGAGGGTGCTAGTCCAGTGATTCCAGGGCTCAGAGACTTCATTTTGAGGTATTCATTCGACCCTTCTTTAGTTTATGGTGTAATACTTAGAGTTAGGGATTTTTAGCCCCTCTAAGGGATGGTTATATGGAGTAATTGGTCCCTTCTCGTGTTGGTGCTGTAGATCTGGACCCAAAGAGGTCCAGAGACCCTTTTCCCTTGAGCTTTATGGGTGTTAATGGAGGTTATGAGCTTAGGATGTCATTTTAGAGGCCATATCTTCAAATAAGGCCTTTGAGCCTTTGCATGAGCACCAAGATGTTAGCTTTACGTGATTATAATGCTTTGGGAAGCTGGATCTATGGTTTAGAGGAGCGGATCTGACCTCAAGAGGTCAGTTCAGCTTGAGCATGGCATGAACTCGCCGAGTCCAATAGCCGACTCGACAAGTAGGACGAGGGTTTTCCCGATAATCACACAGTTGGTGACTCACTGAGTTGGGGAAGCGACTCGGTGATTCAGAGGGAATCTAGAGGACAGAGTGCACGATGGTACTCGCCGAGTTAGGAGCTGGACTCGGCGAGTTGGGTCGGGACATATCATAGATTGTGATCAATGATGATTTGTAGAGTTGAGGTTGACTCAGTGAGTCGAATGATGACTAGGAGAGTGAAGAACACGTGTGGACTCGCCGAGTCACAGTTATGCACTCAGTGAGTTTGGTCAAGGTTGACCGTTGACTTCGTTGACTTTTAGGGTTAGTCAATGTTTGGACCTTAGAGTCATCGGAAGGGTAGGATAGTCTTTTACCCTTCCTAGAGGATGTATAGAGGGAAAGAGATTAGCCTAGCCCTGAGGGTTGTATTAATTAGAATATTTATTTCATGTGATTAGGCAAGGGCTAGACCAGAGTTTACCGAGTCAGAGATTTACTGAGCTATCCGAGGTGAGTCTTCTCACTATACTTTACCTTGAGTAGGTAACTAGAGTTATGTGATACAGTGTTTGTATGCTATATATGTGTTATGTGTTGCACTGCATTATTCTATGTGATTTATGTTGTGCATGTTTACAGAGTTAGAACCTGAGGGTTCACAGAGTTTGGGTGCACGGACCCACAGAGTTATAGCCTCGAGTGGCTAATATGTGTTATATGTGGTATTTTGGGGAACTCAATAAGCTTTGTGCTTACAGTGTTTTATGTTATGTGTTTCAGGTACTAGTGAGGATCGTGGAAAGGCGCCGGCTTGATCAGTACACACGCGGGATTTTTATGTTATGAGATCTTGGGATTGATATATGTAATGAATTGAGTTTTAAACAATGATGTTTTCATGAATAATGAATGAATTATGTTTTTATAAAATGCGAAAAATTGTTTTGGAAATTTACGGTGTTATAACTCCTCGACGAGTACGGAAACCAACTCGTCGAGTAGGGCCAAAAAACCCAAAAATATTTTTATTTAAATTATTACATGAGAATCAGGGCGTTACATTAACATACTTGGCGTCGTGTTCCTATTGATTACAAAAAATGATTTATATCCCGAGCTAGAGTTAAGTATACAATATATTTTATATGTATTGAATTTTACACTTATTAAATATTTTTTTACTAATCAAATATGTTTTTCCTTTTGCAGACTTATTTTGATATTAATAGGTACCGGGGCACAGACTTGTGGGAACCCCTTCGAGCGGGTATCCAAGCAGACATGTAAAGAGCTTATCGAGACCGCTAGCATGATATGAAAAACCATTTTGATATACTTGGTGGATATCATGATGTGGAAAGGGCAAGAAGATGTCCACCGACTGATTGGTCCGCCGAAGCTTGGAACAAAATGATTGATTTGTTATTTTTGACCGATGTATACAGATGCACGTCGGACAAAAATAAAATTTGTAGGTCGAAACTTCCGCATACAAGTGCTCACGGATGTAGACCCTATGCTCAACGACGTTATTTAGAGGTAATAAAATATTATAGTATTAGTTAAAAGTGTTATTAACATTTGTATAAATATATTTATTGATTTCAATTATTATAGGAAAAAATGGGAATGAAGCCGCAACATATTGAGGGTTGGAGACAAATGCGCTACCAAGAAGGTTCGGGTTGGTGTACAAGTCGAGCACAAGAAGATTAGGTAAGTGATAAACAAAATGAATGTGTTGTTTAAATATATTATTATTATTATTAATTATAGTTTTTTGTTTAAGGAATATTATTATTTTAATGTTTAAGTTTAGTTTTTTGTTTTAATTAACGTATGTTTATTGTTTTCTTTATTTTAGGACAAAATTCAAGAAGAATATGAGAAAATACAAAGTGAGGTTGGGGAAGGCGGAATAATAGACGAGGAAGAATGTTTAGAACGTGCCATTGGGACGAGACGCGGGCATGCTCGCGGGGTGGGTAGGAGACCAACCGCCAACTTCGGTTTAATTCCAAATGAACGATGTTCCACTTCAAAATCGTCCCAATCTCAACCCCAATCTCAATCTCAATCTCAATCCCAATTTGATGCACAACAAATGCAAGAATACTTTCAACAATATAATGCATCATTGGCGGCATGTATTACGGGCTTCCAACCACCTCCATTTCCTAACTTTCTATTCAACTCTAACACACAATCAAATACCTCTCAACAAGTTGCTGAAAGGATGGAAGAACAAGGAGAAGAAGGAGAAGGAGAAGGAGAAGAAGGAGCAGAAGAAGAAGAAGGATATGATGATGATAATGATGTTTGATGTTTTTTTAGTGATTTGAACAATGTTAGTTAACTACTAAACTTGAATTTGATGTTTTGAATTTGAATAATGGTACTTAGTTAATGCATTTTAAGTGATATATGTTGGAATCTGTTTTGGATTTGTTAAAAATACAGGAATTGTAATGTACTAAATTTGTAAAATAGAAAAAAAAAAAAAAAAAAACAAACAGTACCTATCCCGACGATATGTCGTCGCTATAGGTATGTCATTGGCTCTTGTTAGAACCCTATAACGACGACTTGTCATCGTAATAGATTAAACATGTGGCGATGACGAGTCGTCGCTAAAGGTTTGCCGACGACAAGTCGTTGTTATAGGTAATTAATAAAACTTTATTTTTTAATCCCGAAAATATGATTGACAAACTCTATCCCGACGACTAGTCGTCGGAATAAGTGACGCTATCGCGACGACATCTATACCAACGACTCTATTGACCTATGCCGACACGACTACGCCAACGACTTTATACTGACGATTTGTCGATGATATACCGTATACCGACGACAAGTCGTCAGGATAGGGTCCGAAATTATCGTCACCATAGGGTTTTATTGTTGTAGTTACTCAACAATCCCTTTATGTCCCCTTCCCGACCAATTATTTGTGACCCATTAACCAATGATATTCCCTCCAACCGCCTATATGACCCTAATTCAACAATTACATTCAAACCCAAATCATTTTTCCTTTCCAGAAGTATACCGAAAAGGATGGTGATCTCATCCAACTTAGAACTCATCTGCCAGCCATACATCATGCTGTGGGAACCAAAATTACTAAAAGTTGGGAATAACTTCAAAACCTTATTGCTGGTGCTAGCACGGGATTCTTGATTCAACTTGTGTCGAATAGCTTCGGCGGTCAAATCATCGAGTAAGTCGTCTATATCGTAAGTCCATTCATGGAGATCGTACAGCCACAGTTGAGCACTATGTTTTTTATCTGCTTATTTCCTTATTTCTTGCATCAACAAGCATAGCTTGGATCAGGGGCAAGGTTGTCTTCAATTTTTTCAGCTGAGTATCGATTCCTTTAGATTGAGACACCTTCATCAAGTCTGCGGAGATGAGCTTCTAGCAGAGCAAAGTGATGACTGCGCTAACGATTTCAGCCATTGGGATTTGGAAAAGGAATGATCGTTTCTATGTTAAGGGTTTTGGCTTGAAAGGAAAGGTTAAGCGAAAGGCTAAGGATATGGTTACCACCGAGATGTCATTTTTCCACGTCTAACTCCAATGTTCACTACAAGTTTTTTTTTTTTTTTTTTTTTTTTTTATTTTTTATTTTTTTATTTTTTAAATTTTTTTTTTAAATTTTTATGTATTTATTCATATTAAATAAAAAAACAGTTATTAACTATAAATAAATATTTTACTAATAAAAAATATCATAAATTAAATAAAAAAACATAATCTTAAAATTCAAGAAATATTTAAAGGTATATTAGAAATTAAAAAAATAGAATTTAGATATATAAATCAAGGATCTGATCTATAATTTCCAAAAATCATTTAAATATAAGAAATTTTACTTAGGGTAGAAGTTGTAATCAGCCAAAACTATAAGGACCAAAGTTGTCAAATCTTCATTTTACTTTCTTGTCTTCTCCCATAGCAAGAACCACGCCACAACGCACACAAGGGCGGTGTTTACACATAGCCAACCTTGCCATGTCGGCCTTCACGCGTGGATTACTCGACGGTGACCCGATAAATATTGGTAAAGTAATCCAATTTTTGGATTAAATAAGCAAATAAGTTTTTTTTATATATTTTTTCAAATACTTATGAAATTAAATAAATTTAGCCTATGTTATAAAATAGCAAAAAAAATTATGAGTTTTCATAAAATAGTCACACAAACCATAAATGATGGAGGCTCATTTGCAGTTTGGGTTACTCAGCTTCAGTTTCGTTTGTTATGTTGTGGTTTCGTGGTATTGTCTTCGATTTCGGTCAACTCTATAATTCTTATTTTATTTTTTCATTTCTAAGATGACGAAATCACAGATGGCATGTGGCCCTCTATGTTTTCCTCTCATCTCAGACTTTGGTTTCGTCACCTGGTTTTTTTCTAATTTTTTTTTAATTAAGTGTAAGTTTGACTACGGTATTTTAGCCTAAAATGGTAACACTTGGAAAAATATTGTAAGTTTCATTTTAAGCCCTAATCGAAAAAGTTTGCAAAATGGTCCTTAAGACTAGTACGTGGGGTGTACAGGGTGGTACGCTTAGCGTACTAGCCCGATGCGTGATCACGCCTTCGAACATGTACACAGGACGTACGCTTGTGTACGTGTGGAAAAGTGAAACCTCCTAACATAAACATCACTAATTCCTTGTAGTTTTTTTTTTTTTTTCAATAAAGGCAATATTCCGTCTTAAGTTTTTTTTTTTTTCTTAAATAAGGTTTTTCAATTTCTATATTTTCTTTTCTTTTTAATAATTTTCCCAAAATAATTAGCAACATTAATCTTATAAGAATTGTTTTTGAATATTTAACTAATAAACCATAAAAAGTCACATGTTTCATTTATTTCATATAAGTAAACACTTTATGACACCACCGCTCCTCCCTTCTGCCATCTACCTATTTCCCTCATTTTCTCATCTGAATTCAAATTTCGAAATACAAACTCTTTCTCTCTAAAACCAATTTCTCTTTCTTCTTAAGACACGTTGGTGTCAGTGTTTCTTCTTCTTTCATTTGCTTGTTTAAACCGAATTTGCCCTCTTTCCCCCTATGTTTCTTTCTATTTATTGTGTAATCGAGAAGGATGCTATGAAAGATACATGCACACACACTCTTTCTGTTGTCTATACACACACATACACCAAGGTTGTAATGATAAAAAGCTTACAAAAGCTCAACTGCATGCAGGATTACATGTCTCTTTTTTCTAACCCTGATTAGATGTATGGTTATTTTTTTTATAGAATATGATGTTTAGATGTGAGGTAAAACCACTTCCATTTTCTCATAATTTTTATTTTCTTATGTTTTATTTGATTAGAGTCTGGAAAGGATCTGGTGGCGATAAACATAATTTATCCATTGAACAACTTATCATACAACATTTGATGTGAAAAAAGAAGTTACAATATTCCCCCAGTTATCTATCCAAAAGTTCACCATAAATATGATTTACTGTTTTTCCCCTTGAATTGATTTATTCTGGTGTTTTATCGGATTATGAACTGTTTGTTGGTGAACTGGGCTATTTTCTATCTATATGGGAGCAACTGATAAACTATTTAGTGTCGATCATAATGAAATTTACTTCAAAGGAATGCCAATTTCAAATGGAATGGTATGACAACTCTATAAGAACATTTTTCAATGTAGTTGAAGCCATTTTAAAAAATTATAATGTGATGTGTTTTCTAGCAACTCTAGAGGCATGAAGACTTTCTTCATGAAGAAAACAATCGAAAGTTAGTTTCTGGTACAAGGCGAGGTTGATGATGCCATGACCCTTGGTTGCATAAAGGTATTCTATTTGTGTCATATCATTATTATAAACTTTATTTAGAAAGTTATATGAATTGATTTTTCAAGTAAGTCATTGAATTAAAATGACCATCCTCCATTGTTGCATTGCTTTAGGCAGTGTTTGGTATAATGGAATCTCGGAGTGAATGGAATGGTTCGTTGCCAAAACTAGCAATGTACTTTGCTGGAAATCTTATTTATAACAATGTACTATGAATTTTTACATTACCAAAATTGTTGATTAGAGTAACACAAAAGTTTTACTAATAACAATATTAGACGAATGTTATAAATATTAGACAATAGTTACATGTTTATAATCTAGAGGGATCATAGTGTAAATATATCTAGTATTAATACCTCATATAATTGACATATTCAAGATATAATATACAATTCAACGATTACCAAGTTCATCTTGGTATCAAAGCTTCTTTTCCCTAACCCTAAAATTGGCTCCACAATAGCTCTCATCATAACCATTGTCAATCATACAGATTGTCAAGCAGACAACAACAATGTAACATCCATAAATTTACGCCAAATTTAAACTTTTTCAATCATAAATAAAAATCAAATAGCATTGTTTACAAAAATATTTTCAAATCATTATCCATCAGAGTGTCCCAAAATCATATCGTAAGGATGAGGAGCGGTGCGGTCACGTCTTCGCCTTGTCATGATCTCCTGAAGTACCTGAAACAATAAACTAAAAACTGTAAGCCCGAGGGCTTAGTGAGCTACCGCTAAAATACCAATACCACACTGACAATACCATATCAGTAATAATCAATCAACCAACATGCATACTGGGCCATCGGCCTGACGGGACCGCCCTATAGGGCCTACAGTCTATCTAGATCTATACCGAGCCTTCGGCATGACTGGTCCGCCACGTGGGCCTACAGTCTCCTCGGACCGCTCATATGGTATGTTGGCCTTCAGCACAAAGCAGGACCGCCTCAACTCAACCAATCAAGCAAATAACAATGTGCGCATAACTATCATATACTGGCATATACAAACATCAAACATATCTATCTCACTGATCATCAATCATAGAATTCTCTCGTAACTAGAGTACCGACCTAGCAGGTCACTAACATACCAATCCCTACGGATCATAAGAACATAACATACTATCTACCCTGATTTCAATCTAACAAATCATAACCACATGTAGCATACCATAACAATAACAACTAAAGGGCCGACCTTGGTGCCGTAGACCCTATCGATGTAGTGAGGATAACTCACCTCGCAGATGTCAACTCGGAAGGTAAACTCCAACTCTTGGATCACTTGACACAGGATCCACCACCTATTATCATAGTACAATATACTCATAAGTCCTTAACCTTATAAGGTACTCCATAACCCACAAGTCAACCCCTGGTCAAAGTCAAAGTCCTCAGTCAAGGTCAACAGTCCATGTTGACCTCACTCACTGAGTACCCTCGGCTACTTGCCGAGTCATCGGGGTGACTCATCGAGTTCCTTCGATTCTCGATCAAACCTTAAGGCCACCCGTCGAGTTTCCTCCATGTAACTCGACAGATACACACGTATACATATCCCGGAGAAAACTCATCCGACTCGTCGAGTTATTCTTGAACTCGTCGAGTCTATGGCAATCTTCATCGGACTCGCCGATTTGTTCATCCAACTCGTCAAGTTCACGGCCATCTGCATGTGACTCGCCGAGTGCATTCAGTCCTTTTTCCATACAGACCTATTTTGAGCCATGCACCGGCTCCAAATCACAGATCTAAGCTTCTAGGGCATGCTTATAATATAAAGTTGAAAACTTTACGTGCATGCATGGCTATAAAGGCTCTAAATGCCTATTTTAAGTTCTTAATGGAGCTTCATGCTCAAGAGGGGCCTCAATCATGACCAAAACTGTTACTTTATGCTTCTAGAATCCAAGGAAGGTCCAGATCTGAAGTTACAACTTCGGATCTAGCCCATAGCTCATCTTATCAACTTAATATTCCATAAAAACCCTAAAACTCAACCAATAAAAGAGATCTACAAGGAGAATGACGATTTGGGTACCTCTAGAAGATGATAACTGAGATAAGTGTTGATTCCCACACTCTACTTGCTCCAATCTCCTTTTCCTTCAAGCCTTCTCCCTCCTAAGATTCTCTTTTCAAGCTTCAAACACATACAATGGCGCACACACACGTATAAGGGATCTCAAGGACTCTCTAAAACTGTAAAGAGGCCCAAGGGAGGCAAAGTTTTCTTTAAATAGGGGTGCAAACCCTGGGATTTAGGGTTTCATCTGCCAGCTCCTACTTGCTGAGTCCCAATATGGACTCGTCGAGTAGGGCACTTAACACACGATCACACCCCGCTACTACTCGACGAGTAGGGCAACCAACTCGTCGAGCAACTCGTCGAGTAGAGCTTAACCCAAGAAATCTTATTTAAAACAATACCTAAGAATCGGGGCGTTACAACTCTTCCCCACTTGAACTAGACTTCGCCCTCGAAGTCCGCTGGAATAAACAATGTCGGGTAATGCTCGCGCATCTCTGCCTCCAGCTCCCATGTCCACTCGGATCCCCTCCGATGTTCTCAGTGTACCTTTACTAAGGGTATTTCCTTGTTCCACAGAATCTTCTTCTTCCTTTCCAAAATAGCCACATGCCTCTCCACATAGTTCAGGCGCTTATCGACCTGAATATCATCCAACAATACCACTGCCTCCTAGTCCATAATGCATTTTCACAATTGCGAAACATGAAA